GGTACTGGCGCACCCTTTCGTTCCAGAACGCCGCAATTTCATTGTTGTCCGCGCCACTCACATTATTGGAATTTACAACATCACATCCCTGCCAGCCGTTCATCGGCGTGCTGTCTGCGTGCTGCACACAAATAATCCCCCACGACATGTCACGGGATAATTCCTCCTAACCATTAAAATATGCCGCCAGGCACTCAGTGAACTGCCTCACAGTGCTGGCGGTGGTGTGATGCCCACCCGCCGTCATCTGCAGCCCAACCAGCGTCTTCCGCGACAAATCAACAAAGAAAAAGCCGTCCACCAGCGGAAAGCTTTCGACCGCCGGTATGTACAGCACTCCGTACTCCATCGGAATCCTCTCGACACCGCCTTGCAGTCCCGCTATTCCAACGGTGCGAGTGGGGTACCCTTGATGGTTTACCCTCAGCACTGATTCCTGTGCTTCACCACGTTCTGGTGACCTCAGCTCATTGAGTCCCTTTACTAGTGCACCGACAAACTCCCCATACATGAAGGCGCGCAAACCTAATTGTTCGAGAGCTCGGGAAGCAAGAGCACCATGCGATCCCAATATTATCAACAAAAGATCCTTCGTGGCAATGGCTTTGCCAAACAGTCCGCAGTTCGAAACCCAATATCAGCACATATCGATGCGTTCAGGAATACCTCAGCACCTTCATCTGTTCTTGCCCGGAAGATCTTCACAAGTTTGTGAGACGGATCCTCGGAATACAATTTTTCCTCTCCTCTCAGGGTAAAGTACTTTCCTTGATCCCCAATATTGATCCATTCCAAGGCCCTCATAACACCTTGCGTGCGTTTTCCATATTCATCCGCATCGAAGATATGCTGTGGAATCGGTCCCAAAAGATACATGTGTTTTTTGACCTCTTTCCAGTATTCCGCTTGTTTCTCTTTAGCCCCATCACGCGTTATCCAGGCACACATCGCCTTCACATCCATCTCGTCGGGGCAATTCACGATGATTCGCGCGGCTCGTAGTTGCTTCGCCCACTCATCATAGTTGGTTACCTCCGGGAATGACACCGCAATCATGCCCCATCCAGAAGTAGGCGCAAAATGTCTCGGTGGCGGCGTTCCCTCCTTTGCCACATCGTAGATAATATACGCATTCCTCCCATGGCCCCTCAGACTTTTCAACTCCGAGATGCATATGTCCTCATCGCTCTATCTTGTCACCGCTCTGGTGGTCTTGTCAGACACGTACGCATCTCCTCCACCAAAACAGTGGACTACCACTTGGCTTTTCTCGACATCGCAGTGCAGCAGCTGGTAGAGGAGGTACGAGCCGGCAGCCACCGATTTCCCGATCCCGGGCGTCCCAATCAACACACGTCGCTCGAACTTAAAGTCGGTCTCACCGTGAGGGCTGAACCACGCGGTTAGATCGCCCCTGACGATCTGCCACACTCGATCCACCTCACAGTTTACAAAAACGTCCTTGCGAAGATACTGTACCGTATTCCACGAGTACGGCCATCCTTCTCCGAGGCGAGCACCATCAGCCTGAGACGCTGCACCGAATTGCTGCACAGCGTCATCCTTTTCGATAGCGTCGTCAGCGTTCTTGTACGTCCATGACTGTTCTGGCTTCCCCTCACGCACCCCCATTCCCGTCCCCGTTTTCTTTCGCTCCACGCCGTCCGGAAGTTCCACCGCATGGCTCCGCCTCGCATTGTGCACAGACTCGTAGCATCCCTCCAGTTTCTCCGGTGCGCTCGTCGTCGTTGGGTTCCTCGCCTCCCCGGCAGCCGCATCCAAGAAATGTTTGGTGGAGTTATGAACAGCTGCTTTTACCTCCGCAGCAGCTAATGACCACCCCGGTAGATTGTTGACACCCTTATCGCATAGCTTGCGTATATCCTCATCGAAGATCACTTCACCCTTTGCAGCTCGATTCATACTCAAATAATGACCTGATGCCTGTATTTCGTTCAACGCTCCTTTATCACGGATATACTTCGTGGGGTCCTTGAAAAACTCCTCCAGCAATACATCCCGATTGGTGTCCACAACGCCCCTGCCGTCCAGTTCCCTCGTAAGATAGTCGCTCAGCTTCATTTCATTGACGCGAGCTCTTCCTTTAAACAGTACGTCTTCGATATTAGTGGAAATGGTAAATTTCATTTCTTGCGTTCGTCTTAGCCTTTCCTCTGCCTCCCGCCTCGCTTCCGTCAGTACCTGCGTGAGTACTCCGTTTGGTTTTCCCCTTGCAAGAGGAGTGATCGTATGCTTTTCTTTCATAGTCCCTCCATTGCCCGAGGGAGAACACACCTTCGTGAAGCGGCTTAGTAATGGCCTCCAGCGCTTGGTGCGCAGTTAAGTTAAAAATTTCTTCAAGAAGCCGCTGGTCTTGTACGCAATCATCCGGCTCCTGAACAAACATCTCCATCGTCACATTGTAGTCTTTCATCAACGGCCGCCCTGCCGCCAACATAATTCCACAGGAAACCGTTCAGCCTCATGTTGGTGCTGCTAGTGTTTCCCTCCTGCAGGATTTCCTCTACGGTGCTGCTCATGGTCCACTGCGGCCACACTTCACTCCCCACCACATGTCGAGCTGCAGCGTCGGAACCATCACCAGAGCCGCTGCAAGACGCCATCACAACACCCGTGCAGTGAAGCGTCCCACTCGCACCGCCCAACTGCGGCCAGCAGGTGCCGCTGGCTCCAAAGGACACTCACGGCTGCTTCGTCCCGCTGTCCCAATGGCGTTGGGCGTGGCACTCACACGGCTCGGTGGTCGGTGCGCCATGCAGCCGCACTGCGACGCCTGTCGGTGAAGCAGCCGAGGCCCACCGCCCGGCAGCAACACGAGGCGTGCAACCAACCCCAACACCGCCACACTATCGTCCTTTTTTATTTTGTTTTATTCACGTTGTCGGTCTGTTTGCCTCATCACCGACACCAAAAATAAGTGCACACCTTCACAAAAGAAAAATAAAGGAGGCACGATCCCACCGTCCCGCCGCGGATCAACAATCTCCTCCACCCACCACCATTGCAGCATAGGAGACCGCAGTCACATCGCAGGGTCAGCACCACAATGTGCACCACACAATCGTGCAGTGAACGATGGGCCGCACGCGGCCACGCATCGCCCCGCTCCATTTTGCCACCAATCAAGTGTTGCGTGCCCGCAAAAAGTGGCAAACACAATCAGAGTGCACACAAACCCTATCATCCCCCTC